ATATTAAATAATAATAAAAAATACAACATCATATGAAAATAATAATAAAATAATTTATAGTGATCAAAACAGGAGCAATTCAAAATTCAGTGAGCAAAATAGAAAAATTGAAAGTACGGTGAGTAAAATAGGAGAGATAATAGTTAAGTGAGAACTAGTGTAATTTACTCTTTGTGTTTAGTTAAAACATGATTCAATTTACCCTTTATATATAGTGTTGTGTTTCCTTGTATGGCCATTCAACGGTGATCTTAATTTTAAATTTGAAATACCAGACCGTTGCTCTGTGTTATTTTTGAATTTGAAAAATCAGACCGTTGTTCTCCCGCTCTGCCCCTCTTTAAAAACCCACTAATCGCTGCTTGATCCTCACGGTAAATCCCATCCTTTCCTATCAATCGCTATGGCTATGGAACAGTGCGTGTGTCCTGTTGATACAACGTTGCACGAAACAAGCCATGAACATCATCTGATCGGCAGCCACACTCAAGTTCATAAGGAGAGTAAGAGTGTGAGTGAACATCATGTGCACAACCAACAGAGTCACGGCATCCATGCTGCTCATCATGCTGAGTCCAAAGCCCCGAGCCACAAATAAAATTGCTGTACCTGGCACAAGAAGCACAATATATGCAACTGGTTTTGTAAAATAAAATTGACCACATAGAGTTGCTGTACCTGGCACAAGAACCACCAGAGATGCTGTACCTGGCACATAGAGTTGCTATACTACACACTAAATAAAATTGACCTGCAGTCTCTACAACAGTCAAATATGGCATGTAATTCAATGTAATACTACAAATATCATATCTCCTATCAAATGAAAAGGCAAAACAGATATAGTTTTATGAATATGTCATGGCTTTGTTGATAATGGACGCCCGCAATCTTTCACTCTGATAAAACATTCAACCCTGCAGACACAAGTATATAGTACTACATATTTAAGCAAAGCTAATTCGAACTAAGGAATTCTATATTTTCTACTGGCAGATTGATGTTTCGGGTCGATCCGAAACGAATGCTATAACTTGAGTTAGAAAATCTCATGTTACACGAAATTAACAAAGATAACATCATGCTAAAAGAAATTAACATCAAATTTGCGGTTTTCGCACAACCAAAAGACGAAAATACGAAGACAAAAACATCCATTCATGTAAAGAACTATGCATTAAGGTGAGAAGAGTACCTGCACAAACATCAGAGGAACTTGGAGTAAAGTTTCATCTCTTAAACTTGGTAATATTGAAATTGAGCTGCAACTTGTTAATATTGATCGTTGCCGAAAATTGTATGAGAAGTATCTAGAGTGGGCACCTGAGAATTGCTATGCATGGAGCAAATATCGAGTTAGAAAGATCATTATCTGAAACAGAGCGGGCAAGAGCTATTTTTGAGCTTGCCATCACACAACCGGCTTTGTACATGCCAGAGTTATTGTGGATGGTATTTTTCCCTATTAACAACTGTTGTATATTGCTCATCTTTGTGATTATAGTTACACCAATAAGTACTTTCATTTCATGATGAAGATTCGTGCAGTGAAATGACTGGTTATTTTCTCGATAATAGCTTTGCATATTTGCTAGGATATGGTCTTAATGAGTCATTTCTCCATTTTCCCTCGTATTTGTTTTGTTGAGTGATACCTTTGGGCTTTTTTAGGAATATCATTTCTGATGATGTTATATTGAAGGGTGTTAATGCTTCTTATTCTTTGATCGTCACAGTGTTGATATAAATAATTACATTTAAATTTGAGTAAAAACTCGAACAATATATTCAGTCCTCGAAAAATTTTAAACAAAATTTGAATAATAATACAATACTCGTAAACTTGACGAACTTAGATTTTTTTTATTTAACTCGATCGAATATTCACTCCTACTTCATATTATACAATGTGTATATATCCTCTGCATTATGGAATGCAAACTGTGAAAGTATCTGGAAATAGACTAGAAGCAATACAGCACTTTGATTCCCATGTCAATTTTCAGAACAAAAATCAACGAACCAAAATCGTATGTATAAAATGGACATCGCCATCAAGGAACTTATTCTTTAGATGACTCGAATTATATTATTCCACACTTCATTCTTAATATGATTTTTCGAATCCGAATCCGAATACATAGTTGTTCTCAACAGTCACATCCGAATCAGGACCCGAACCCGAGTACAACACAAGTTGATAGAATTTCTTACAGAGGGATCACTTGGCCTAACCTCACTTTCCCTATTCCTATATATACACTACTGCATTTACATTGCCATATTCAGAAGGCAACCTAGAGGGGGAAAAGAAAGCTTGAGCCTCACGGTAAATCCTATCCTTTCCTAGCTATCGCTATGGCTACGGAACAGTGCATCCGTCCTGTCGAGAAAACGCCACACGAAACGAGCCATGAACATCATCTGAGCGGTGGCCATGAACAGCATGTGCACAGCCAGCAGAGCCACGGCATACATGCTCCGCATCATGTGGCTCATGGCATGGACCACGGAAAGAAGGAAAAGAAGATGAAAGAGAAGGAAAAGAAGAAAGACAAGAAAGAGAAGGAAAATAAGAAAGACAAGAAGGAAAAGGAAAAGAAGCCCGAGAAGAAGAAGAAAGAGAAGAAGGAGAAGCACAAGAAGTGCAAAGACGACAGCGGCGATAGCGACTAAAGGTAAAGACCCTTCCGTACAAGAAGCACAGGAGATGCTGTACCTGGCACATAGATTTGCCTTACTATACACTAAATAAAATTGACCTGCAGTCTCTACAGCAGTCAAATATGGCATGTAATCTTATGTAATACTGCAAATTATCATACCTCCTATTAAATAAAAAGGAAAAGCTGATAAAATATTATGAATATGTCTTGGTTTTGTTTGTTCATAATGGATGGTGAAATCTTTCACTCGAAAAAACATCCAACCCTGCAGAAACATGTGTATAGTACTATATATTCAACCATAGCTAATTCTAACCCTGCAGAAACATGCATATAGTACTGTATATTGAGTCACTTCAGTGGTAAAGGGAAATATCCTTCTTCCTAAATGACTAGGGTTTCAACAACTGGGTCTGTACAGTGTGTATGCAACCCACTCATTGCCTTCATTTTCTTCTGAACAGCTTCTAGTTTTTCCAAGGGACAAAGACTAGACTCAAGTTTAAGTAAAAATAACTTGTAGCGTTATAACATAAAACTTCAAAGTATTTCTACATAAACTTGGGTAAAAAATCCCATGTTACACACAACTAACAGAGATAATATCATGATAAAAGAAATTAACATCAATTCGCCATTTTTGCTTAACGAAAAGAAGATAAATATAAAGACAACAACATCCGTTCATATAAAGAACTATGAAATATGCATTAAGATGAGAAGAGTACCTGAAAAAACATCACAGGAACTTTAAGTTGAAGTAAAGTTTCATCTCTTACTGCTCCATTCATCCGTATATTAAAGAAAACATGAGCCATAACATTGATCATGGGACATCAACACCAGGATTAGTCATTAGTGTCCCTTAAAAACTTATGCCAGAATGCACTGGCAACCTTAAAGAGATCCCTAAGCACGGACATTTCTTTTCACCTGCACAAAAGTTCACTTAACCATTAAAAAGAGCCCCATTTAATCTTATAAAGGAAGAAAGTGAGAAAAGAGCTCCATTTCTTCCTATGCGTTCATTTTACAGTTCATGTTTGAGGTTAAAAGGCATTTTCAAACTATGCAACTGGCTAAGCAACTGGATATTAAAGATAGGCAATTGCAAGATATGCAACTGGTTTTAGAGATTAAAAGGAAAGGGAATGTCAATGGAGAATTTAATCTTAGCGTTGACAATATTAAAGATAAACAATCACATTCATGCATGGATAGTTGTGAATAGATGCCTAAGCAACTAAAATTTATTCTTTTTTTATCTTAATTCCTTGCCATGGTTCTTAAGGGCCAAATTCCCCATGTGTTTCTTTCAAATTTTGAATGATTTCAAGCTAAGATAAGCTCCAAAAGCACTCAAATTTTGATTGGTTTATTACCATCCACTTACACACCATTATTGTAGAGAACATCAAATCCTGTGGTCCACATGAGCTTTATCATAAAGAAAAGATAACCTTTTCAAGTCCTATAAAATGGTGTCTTATAGCCCTTTCTCTTCAAGATGAATAAGCCAGATCGATCAGCAGATTGGGATTGAATCTTACAAGGCACTGGTTCCTCACTCTCCCTCAAAGACTTCCAGTAATGCTGGAGGACACTGCCCCAACAATGCTGGAAGTCTTTGGAGAGAGTGAAAAAAAAACGTGCCTTGATAGCTAGTAGTGCATTTCCAATTGGAATTCATTTCTCACTCTCCCTCAATGGCTACTGAATTCGCCTCGTTTTCTTCCGGGCGTAAACCGAAGCCATGGGGCGAGAGTGAATAACATTCACCATTCTTCGTATTCGTTCGTTTTACTGTTCATATTCGAGGTTTTAACAATACCTAACTCATAAATGCTTTTAGTAATCTCAAAACATGTTTTTTTTACAGGTTCCATATAATGAAAATCATGCAATGATATCAGAGAAAGGACAAATGAGGATTGATGTTCCAAAACATGGTGTTGCATGTGAACGAATGACCCACAAATTCAGACACTGCATCGACAAAGCTAGAGCCGTTTCAAGTATGGTCTTTTGTCGTGCTGCTGCACTTCATAACCTTAACTGGATAAAGTGGTGTGTAGTGGGAGAGACATTAACATATTTGTGAATTGTTTCAAATCAGGTGTCCCATCTTCACCAGCCAAATTAGCCCAACACAGATCAAAAAAGGATAGAAAGGAATCTAGCCATCTTTCATTTGTGTCCCATTTTATTACCTTTGGCTGGTGATTATTTTATTACCTCAAGTCATTTTGTTGCAGATGAGGTTACATATGTATAATTTTTACAGTTTATCTCTTCTGATTAGAACATCTAATCGTTAATCATACTTAAATCTCCATTGAAATGATCAGAGCCTTAGAACGCTTAGACCCTTTCTTTATTGAACAAAGAAAGCTTAATTAAACCTACATGTACAAATGTTGAACAATCTTGTGCTAACTTCAAGCTTTGTGCATTGCACTAAGCAAGCTCTTGATTCTTCTCTACAACTCTCACCCCATTTGCAGATCTAAGCACATTGGCCTGCTTCCATTGAACAAAAATATCCATAAATCAAAACCATCCAAAGGGTAAAAAACACAAGCACATACTCGCACGTGAATATGATCTTCGTACTGTCTGTGCGTATTCTGCATAAATGTCAAAGATTATAGAGATGTGATCACCTGAGTTTCGGTGATTTCGACAGCAAAGCCGTCAACAATGACCAAAGACAAGGTCCTCCTGTAGGTGCCAGCTTGAAGAGTGCTTTCCAGAAGCTCGTCGTGCTTCTTACTCAGATACAGATCAAGCTCGTACGCTCCTTTCTTAGTTCTACGAACAACAACAAAGAAAATAAACATGGAGATCAAGAAAGTTGCAGAGAGATTAAGATGAACAAGTGATGATATATTAATGAAAACTCACCGATCAGCTCGTAGTCGCTGGTACTCCGGATCATAGTTCATGAAAACAAAGTACAACTCAGTCCCTGTGCTTCCCATTGCCACTCCTTAATTTTAACCCGTTATTTTGTTTTCTACAAGTTTGGGTTGGTCAGTCTCCGCATTCTCATCTGTATACGTTAACGTATTTATATATGAACAGTTATAATTAATATTATATGGAAATATATCAATATAATATTTGTAATATTTTTTAAATAAATATATGAATTTAATAATACTTCAAAAAATTAAGCAGAGGAGTGTGAGAAGAAAGTCAAAAGGAACCCTAATTCTGAAATCTGAGCTCTATAAGTATAGCTATAGTGGGACTTAAATATTTTTTTATTAATATAGAGTAAGTAGTATATGTTCAAAATAACTCTCAACCATTTGATATTAAATGTTCACCCTTAACATTTCTGATGCTCAAACTCGAAATCTCAAAGAATACAACAATTTCTCTATCACCGAGATCATTTGATTCGTGCTGAGATTTAAATGAATAGATTAATTAATGGGCATGGTGCGAACATATTGTTCATTGACCTTCAACATTTCCGATGTATAATGTTATCCTATTCCCTAATGTTATGCCGACAAACAGGAACATTAAACCTACCCGATTTTAACGTTTGCTTAGATTCTAATCATTCTTGTAAGCTCGATTAACAATCAGCTTTAAAGTCAATGATGCATTTCACACCTTATATGTTATTCGAATTATAAGTTTTGGTCTAATTTTGATCTTATAAGATTAAGTTTTTGTTTTAAAAAAGATGAGTTAGATGAGAATTTTTAAAGTTTAATATCAGATGAGATCAGATTCGATTTAAGTGAAAAATATTTGACCAAACATAATAGAAATTTATAGTATAATTTTCTTTTATAATATATCTAAAAATAATTATATGCAGTCTGAACCATGTCGTCTCAGTAGTTAAATGGATGATTATTAATTCTAAATGTCACATGTTTGAACATTAAAAACTGCAATTTGTAAGGCGTCTGATTGTTCATTTTTAAATGACTTAGAGTCTCTAAAACAGAGACTACCACTTGTAATCATCTTATAGATTATTCAAATAATAATAATAATTATTCTATGCACGGTGATAAATGAGTTTGAGCAACCTGAATACAAGAGGCATGGACATATATACTACATTGTACTTACGACCCTCCAAATTTTATAATTTCAAGTCATCTTGTAACATAAAATCTTGGATCCATCGTTCGTTATAAACATATTAATATTAATAAGTAAAATAAATAAACAAGGGGCAGCAAAAATATCTTGTCTGCCGGTAAATAGTGGAAGGTACGTACCTCCAAGTGGGCAAGAAGGCAGTGCTCGTGGGAACATTACGTGCGTGGTAGGAAAGAAGTGTCAGTGTAAATGGGGGCCCACTCATTTTATCCACGTGTCAGCTCATCAGATGGAAAGGAGGGGACCGATTCGTTTTGAGGCTCCTTATGATGCAGCATGAAGACACGTAGACGTGTTAGGATTTGATTGGCTGACACAGGAAGCCCGTAAGTCACGTGGATGGGGGGTTTAATTAACTTTGTTTGACCGTACAGATTCCAATTCTTCCATTACAGAGATCCATTCATACATTCTTCCATTTAATCCATCCATCATCCAAACACTATCATCATCGTCCCCATGCAGATGACAATTTCATTTTTTATTTTTTGCAATTGATGTATACTGGGTAAAATATACCATTAGGCCACGCAACTATTGTTTCCCTTATAAACTAATCACTTTCTTTTACTAAAACTTACAATTGAATCATTCAATTAAAATATCATTATAAATAGATTGTTTGTCGCTAAATAATAGACGAATAGCATGAATCAAGAGATTCCATTGGTTCCAAAAAGAAAAAAAATCAATCGGGTAAAATTAGAAAGACTTAATTTTCAACTTGGTTCATGGCCGGTCTCCTTTGGTTTCCACAATTGTTCGGTTTGCATCCTGGTTTGAAAGCTGGTACCAGTGTGTCTTGCTAAGTCTTTAGCATGATGGATAGTGGCCGTGGGGTCTGCCACTTCTCTGCTCAAGCATACCTCGATCCTTTGCCGCCATATGCACCATAATATGCTCGCGATGTTGCATGGCAGGTCGCGTTCTTCTTTGGCGGTCCAAGTGTTTCGAACGATAACCGAATGTATCAGGATTCGAACAGTCTCGAGGGGGAGATTGGAGCCTCTCGAGCTGATGTTTGACCTGAACCACACTGTTCTTGCAAAGTTGAGTGACATGAAGAGGTGATCCAGAGTACCACCGTCGTGCTCCCAATCACACAGGGAGCACGACGAGTTTTCTTGTTGTATACTCTTCCTCGTCTCGAGGTCGCAGGATAGGTTGTTCGACACAATATTCCAAAGAAAGAGGATGATCTTAGAGGGGAGTCTTAGTCCACACAGGTTTCTCCGGACTTTCCTTTTCCAGTTGGATCTCATGATATCGTCTAGGCTAATCGATGCATCGATTACCAATTTTGCGGCATGGTATCTGTTCTGGCTGTGTTACTACGGTCTGTGTTCATAGTGGTTTCATTCGACTCTTTAGAGATCAAGTTGCCCCAGCTTTAGTAGTTGACTTCTCTTAGTCTTTGGCATAGGTCTCTCCTCTTAGTTTTTTACCCGTATACTAGAAAAAGGAAAAGTACTACATTTAAATGCCCGAGTAATTTGTGCTTAAATTATCCATCTTGTATATCACGTTCAGAGACGGACGCATCATTTATTGGCTTTAACGCTTACTTAGAAAACAAGTTTTTATACCAGTGTTTTGATCTTCATCCTTTGGTTTCCACAACTGTTATGGTTGCATCTGAAACGCTGATACCAGTGTTTTGCTAACTCTTTAGCATGTTGGATAGTTGCCTTGGGGTCTGCCACTTTTCTGCTCAAGCATACCTCAATCCTTTGCCGCCATATGCACCATAATATGCTCGCGATGTTGCACGGCAACTCGTGTTCTTCTTCAGCGTTCCAAGCATTTCGAACGATGACAGAATGTATCAGGATCCGAACATTCTTGAGGGGGAGATTGGAGACTCTCAAGTTGATGTCTGACCCGAACCACACTGTTCTTGCAAAGTCGCATGAAATGAAGAGGTGATCCACGGTACAATCGTCATGCTCCCGATCACACAGGGAGCACAGCGAGTTTTCTTGTCGTATACACTTCCTCGTCTCGAGGTCACAAGATAGGTTGTTCGACACGATATTCCAAAGAAAGAGGATGATATTAGAGGGGAGTCTTAGTCTACACAGGTTTCTCCGGACTTCCCTTTTCCAGTCGGATTCCATGATATCGTCTAGGCTAATCGATCCTTTGATCACCTCTTTTGCGGCATGATATTCTGTTCTTCCTGTGTTACTACGGTCTTGGTTAATAGTGGCTTCACTCGACTCTTTAGAGATCAACTTGCCCCAACTTTGGTAGCTGACTCCTCTTATTCTTTGGCACAGGTGTCTCCACATGCACGGTTCATCTGGTTTGTGCTTGGTCTCAAGGAAATCGTATCGATAGACGATCCTGGACCTCTTTTTTCTAACATAGCGTCTACACCTTTTCGTGTGGATTCTTTCTGCGGTGCAAGATGAACAATATACGACTCCAACGAGGCTGAGTTGACAGCAGTCATACATGGCTTTCTAATATTTTCTCTGATCTGCTCAGTTGGCTTTGGATTGGATCTTGGACGTTCGTTTTATCCCAGGAATGGCTCATGGATATTCTCGTCCATTCTGGTTTATTGGCTTTAACGCTTACTTAGAAAACAAGTTTTTATATTTTTGTATTCAAATGGCATTTCCCTTCATTTTCAGGAAAAGACAGTTCCTGTGAGAATTTCATTGTCACCGGATTTGGCGTATATTTTTGGATTTTCACCCACGGTTCCACCAGAGAACTCTTTTTGACCCGGAGTTACACGCTACGTGGATCGCCTGCTCTGGATGAGGCGGTCGAAGTTCCCCCGTCACCACCACCACAGAGAGAAAGGTGAAAGTATAAAGAGGAGCACGACGGTGGTTGGTGGGCTTACGAAGAGGACCATGACAATATGTTTTTGAGGATTTCATGACCATTAGGCGACATGAATAATAAGTAATTTCCTTGTATAATAATAACAATACTACACAGAACTCTCTTTAAGAGTATTGGTTTTCTTCTGGTTTTCATCTATTACAGAGATCCGGAGATCAATTTAAAGGACAGGAACTATTTTATATGAAAATTAAAGAATAATATGAATGAACCCTAGATATGACTGGCGCATGAATCACTCTGTTGTGGGCTAGTGAGTTGGGCGCATGGCCATGGACTTACCTCGATTGCAGCTCCAGTTACATCGGAGCACTTCCATGGAGGGGATCTTGGTCCAGTCATGCCATGGAGGTTAATCTTCGAAAGACAGATGCCGGTGAAAGGGGCGTTCTTCAGGCCTTGTATCGAACCAGCTTGCTGTACTCTCACACCCCAAAAGTTCTTCAACGTGATGCCCTTGACGTAAGGGAGAGCGTTCGGATTGAACCGGTTATCGGGGTGGTCCCCTGTGTCGCCTGCGATTTTGATACCGGTTCTTACGTTCTCCATGAACACTTGAGTTACTGTGATGTTCCTGATAAACCCTCCCCGGCCAATGTTTGTTTTGATGTTAACACCGATTCCGCTGTTGTAAAGAACTATGTTCTCAGCCAAGACGTTCTCCACTCCACCGGAGGCTTCACTTCCCACCGCGATTCCAGCAAACGGGGATGACCCTGTTACTCGCCGGATGGTAATGTGTGAGCTGGGGCGTCCGTAAGCGATCCCGTATTCGTCCCATCCACTCTTCACAGCAACAAGATCATCTCCAGTGGAGATGAATGAGTCTTCTATGCAGACATTGGAGCTGAATCTGTTCCGATGAATGAAAGCAAACAAACTTAATCATTCAGAAATTGAAAGTTGTTCTATTCAATAAAGTTCTTCATGTATGCTGGACATGAACCTATATTCCAACCCAGATGAAAACCTGAACCTTAAACCGAACCGAGGAAGAACAATTCCTTTTGTTTCAGTTTGTTCTCTAACAGTAGCATGAAC